TTTAGTTTTGATTTTAAATACAATTTTTTTGCTTGTACTTATTTTCTGGAATGAGCCTATATACCTTTTCTGTGTATAAGTTTATATAAAAATTTTAGAAGCTAATGTTTCAGAAAAAAAATAACAGCAAATTTTCTTAAGTTTGTAAATTAATGGCAGCAATGTTTTTAGTTGAATGATGTGTCTCAAGCATTGCCATAGATTGAGGTCAAGAAGAAAATGTTACGATGAAGCTTTCCAAATACACTGTAGCACCCTGAATGTATAATTGCTTTTCTATTATTTTTAATAATATATACATTTTTTTAATTAAATATACAATAGACAGCGGAATTACAAAAAAAATTCTGAAATTTTATTTGCGGAAGATTAACTGATTTAAAGTTTAATTAATCTGAATTAAAACGAATATTATTTACTTTTAGCTTCAAATATTGCACATAATCATTTTTTTTTAACACGGAGCTGGGTGCTTTTATGAAGTGTTGACACACCTATCGATAACCTGATGCTTGAGAGATTTTATCTAAGGGGAATAATTGTAGTAAAATTACACGACGAATACAACGTAAACACAATTTTAAATAATAATTTAATTACCAAATAAACTTTCAGATTAAAAAAATATTTTAAGCATTTTCATATTTTATTGAATTTTAGGTACTTTGGTTTTATAGCTTTACTTACGAAGACGCTTAGTGGTGAAATTTTAGAAAATTGCCAATCAATTTTAAATTTACTGGTCTTATTTTCTGATACTGTATATGGATGTCTGTATTTACGAAAATCGGTACATTTATAGATGCACAAAAAAAAATCTATTTTTTTAAAATACTGCGAGATGCTGAATTGTAGTAAGCTTTTCCATTTATGATAATTTTATAGATTTTATTTAATAATATCACTTGACCGCTAAAAATGAATGTAGAATTTTAAGATTTAAAAGTTTATAAATTATTCTAATTAAAATTTAAAAAAATGAAAACAGTTATTTTTTGAAAAGCAATAGTGGCCATAATATATGTTATTCATAAAAGCAATTAAAAACATTTATAATTAAATAATGTCTTAGTTTTATTGCACTTTTTATTTTACGATTCAGCGCAGATTTTCGGTAACTGGAATCCTGTTTGATTAAAAGAATTTAATGATTTAAATTCTCTATTGACTTGTCCTTATAACTAATATAAACATTAAACGCTAACAAAAAAAAAAAAAAAAAAAAAAGAAGGATTTCTCGAAATGTCATAAAATTAAATAAGCGTGGGGTAACAAATTTAAAAAAAAAAAAAATATCAAGATCTTCCCAAAAAGAATAATCTAAAAAATAATTTAATTCATGTTTGAATAAGTTCTGAAAGTTTCATTAAAATTAGACAATTATCTGATTTTTGCAAGAATTTCCAAATCGAGGCTTTTCACCGCGAAAAGCCGCTAAAATTTCCTGCACTAATTTATGGTCCCCCGTTGACACCAGAGAAACAAGATTTTTTAACCAAAATTTTGAAGGTTCTAAAAACGATTAAAAAAAAGAAAAAAAAAATTTTTTTTAAAATAAAAGCATCTTTTGGGTTATTGAAAAGGAAAGACAAAGGTTTTGATGATAAAAATTTGCCTTTATTAATTTTTCGGGTTTTTTTCATCATGCATGCTCATTTTTAGCGAATCGATATATATATATATATATATATATATAATTTTATTCTCATTCTTCTCAGAAGCTTCTCAAACTTTATTATTAAATAAAACCGTATTTTAACAATCGGGAAATCGAATTTAACAAATGCTTTCATTTCGCCTCTGTTATAAAAACAGGCTGTTTATTTTATTCAGAAGACAATACATCAGGTTTAATTTCGTCTTTCATTTTGATAAAACTTTTCGATGCCTTTTTGATAATTAAATTCATTAACATTTATTCGGGTAAACGTTTGCCTTAGACAATGAATTATTGGTCTGCATTACAAAATTGTTTCAAACTCTTTATTGGGTGAATTTTTCGGGTCAGCTGGTGCTTTTTAGAGGGAAATATTAGGTTGTTCGGAAAGTAATATCGTATTTTGAGAGACGAAATAAAGACAAAAACAATAATGCAACAAATGTTTAATTTATTCACCAAAGAGGACAAAATCTGACTGGGAAACTAATTCTTTTGTTCTTTATTGAAAGAATCTTTGATTCTTGAAGAAAAGCAAAAGAAAATAGGAAAGTCTGATTCTTTTGAATCGATATCTTCTGTAATTTTCAACATTTTATGACAAAGAAATTATTTTCGAGATTTGATTGAATGGAAATGTTTAGGTGCTAATCCGTTTGGTTTAGTAAAATGTGGTAAAATATTCCAAACCAAAGATTTAATCTCCGCAGTTTTCTTTACTGAATGTTACCTGTATTGTTATTTTTGAAAAACATTTTCTATTGATCAGTACTGGAGATTGCCATTTTTTTTTTCTCAGTTTATCTCGTGTAAGTATTGAATCGCATTGTATTGTCCTTCTGAAAAATAACACATTTATTGATCGGTACTGGAGAATTGCTGGTCTTTACCTTTTCTCGTTTAAGTATTGAATTGTATTGTTATTCAGAAAAATAACACACTTTCTATTGATCAATACTGGAAATGTGTTGTATTGAAAAAAATTCGGCTGATCAATACTGGAAAGTTCGGGTATATTTTTAAAGTTTATCTTGTTCAAGTAGAGATAATAATAATAAAAAAAAACTACTGGGGTTGTTCTGCTTTATTTTAAGAAATTGTAAAGACGAAACCTATGGTAGTCGACCGTTAATTCATCAATCGTGGGTAGAATTTTTGTCTAGATGCTGACATGCATTTTTCGTTCAGAATTCCAGATTATTTCAACAAGGAATAAAATAATTAGCTTCTTAATGGGATTTTTCTGATGGCTTATAAGGATCATGTTTTTGAAAACTAATTTGTTACGCCTGAATAGACTTTCATTCTGGCGACATTACATTCAAATGCGACATTACTTTCCGGTCATATTAATACATTTTAAGACAGTCAATAAAAAAAAAAAAAAAACTTCTTTTCCTTATATTTTCCAATAGCTTCTTATCTCGTACCTCTCGCCTGTGGAACTCCCTTCCCTATTCCTGATTCCCTGAGAGCTATAATCTCCAACTATTCAAATGTAATGTCAATCGACATCTCCAGTTGCCTTGATCTATCCACTATCCTTCTCCTCATCCTTTCTTCTATCACTCCTATCTGCTCTCGCTCCAAATCTGAAACCCTTGCGTACTAGTGGCTTCCCGCCTTTCTTGGAGTGAATCGATTAAGAAAAATTTCTTTATTTTTTAAGCAACTGTACTCGAAACAAACAACAGAATTATGAGCAAATTCTTTGAAAAATAAGAACTTTATTCATATGGATTGATGAAATTTTAACAAAGAATAAAAGAAGCTAGGGGAACACACGCGAAATGGTCAGTCAGTTATGTGTCATGCGTAATACACGCTTAAGCGATCATGTATCTTTCGATACATGACTGACGAGGCAGATTTTTTTCCTGCAGTAGGTTACCATTTCTTTCTGCGGCAGGCCAGTTGCCATCCAAGACTATAGAACCCGGTCTGTACTGATATTTACACATAGCTGGTGGGGAGAAGAAGAGGATTTATACCTTTCCCAAGTAAGTGAATGTAATGGATTCGACTGAAATTCGAACTCGGCTCTTCGATTCCTCAATCCGAACCGCTATCCATTTACTCCACCGTATCTGCGAAATAGTAGTGTTAATAGTAGCTGTTTCCTTATAAGAAAACATTTAGCATTTATTAACCGAGCAAAAAGTGCTGTTTTGGGTTGAAATTTATAAATATTTTCTCTTAAGGAAATTTTCTCAAGTCCACTAACTGTTATCGCTCTTTCCAGTACTGACGGAGGCTTCCTTCCTTGTGGAACGCCATCATCTTGATTATGCCGTTATTTTCTCTTCGAGTTACATGTGCAACATATTTTAATTGCTGTTGAAAGTCCTTAAGTGATGTGGTTTCTGAACAAACCAACATTTTGAACGTTTAACCTTCGCCATCAGTGAAAATGGACCAAACTGAGCAATCAGTCAATGGACCCATGCAAAGATTAAAACATCGTGCTCATGAAAAGGTAAGTCAATAGCGACTCTAAGTATTACATTAAAAATATATAATTGTTTATCAATTCTCGTTATTTTTTAAAAATTGTTTCACCCATGCTAGGCGATAATGCTACTAGGACGCACTTTTAATAAAGCTTTTAATATAAATTTTAATATATAAATTTTAAATTTTAATTACTATAACGAACTATTTATTTCTTTGTCAGGGTTACTTTTTAATTTTTTTTGTTTTCGCTCTATGACGTCTTCATAATTTTTTAAATTTTATTAACTTTATTTTTCATAAATACAAATCAGTTCCGAAGCTTCATAACTCGACATGTTTATCTGCTTTTTCTGTCCGATTCAAATCCCAATCCTTTGCTCGACATAGTAATTTTGTGTAAATAAAAAAAATAAAAAAACAACTAAGTATTGATTAATAATGATCGTTTTTTTTAATGCAAGCATTTTCTGCTCAAAAAGTGCTTATTGTTTCCTCAGCCTTTTGTGATAGAAAAACACAAAATCAAACAACCACAAAAAGACTAACGTCTGCAGTTTGTAAATCAGAAAAGAATGGCATTTTATTTTTCTATTAACAATAAAAACAAAATATACTGGGATGTTTTATGTACAGAATTGCAAGTTTAATGCTCGCAAATACATACATGAACGCTCATACATACCTACACACATACATAGGTAGGCATGTATGTACGAACGTAGGTACGCATGTATGAAATAAAAAGAAAGATTACGCCTGATACAAATAGCGGGAAGGAAATTAAATAAGAATTACGCCGAAGGAGAATCGAACGACATTTAATATGACAGAATAAGAGAGAATTTAGCAGAGCGATGAAAGCTACTATCTGTATATCTATCTATATAGTTATGACTATATCAGGTTGGAACACCGGTTCTTGTACGATCCGAGAAGTTAAGCAGCGTCGAGCCTGGTCGGGACTGAGATGGGCGACCGCTTGGGAAGACCGGGTACTGAAAGCTTGGATGTGCGAATGGTGTAATGGATAATGGTTAAAATTGGAACTCTGAGATCCGAGTTCCAATTCTAGTCGGGTTTGTTATATTCACTTACGCACAAATAGCCTTCGGAAAGGTATCGATCCACCCGATCTCCACCCCGCTAAAACATCAATAAATCATAACTATCCACCCCACCTCCCAGAAAATAATTATTACATTATAAATATATTTAAGGCTTTAAATAACATGCAAAAAGTTTTAAGTTGAAAAAACCCCAAATCAGTCAATATATATATATATATATATATATATATATATATATATATATATAATAATTGTTGATTTATAGATAGTCTGATCAAAACGGCTTATGAACCGTTAGATTGTTATATATGAACAAATATATTTCTGCTATCATCTCTAAAAGGGATCCCCATAAAGCATATGGAGTTGATGGCATCTCTGCAATTAGTCTTTAAGAAATGTGCTCCTGAACCGTCTGATCCTTCAAACTACCGAACTATTAGCCTTCTACCTCTTTGTAGCAAAGTACTAAAGGCTCTAATCTACTCTAAATTGGTTAAACGTTTCACCTCACAGGTTCTTCTGTCAGATAACCAATGTCTTTCGCTTCTCTAGATCAACTATTAAGGTATTAATGATTATTGCTGAAAGAGAAAATCAAGCTTTATATAAGAATGATGAAGCTCTGGCTGTTGCTTTAGTTATCTCGAAAGCATTTGACAGGGTTTGACAAACTGGTTTCTTCAAAAGTTGAAAGGTTATGGTATTTCTAGATGAAATTTTGAACAGAGTCAGTCTTTCTCATCAAATCGCTAAATGAAAGTTATCTTGAACGACTAATATACTATATACTTTTGTATTAATGCAAGTGTCATACAGGGGTCTATGCTTAGACCTACGTTATTCTTAACTTTTATCAACGACCTTCCTGATGTCATTGCTTTTCAACTCTGTATCTGTGATGATTATATCATTAAAAACATGAGTAAATGATTTTAAGTCTGATTGGTTCGATAAGGTCAAACTGACAGCTGAGCTAAAAAAAAAAGTGACCTACAATCTGTTAACTGGGGCAAAGAGTGGTTTGTTAATTCTAACGCCTCCCAAATGGAACTCCTTTCTTTTAATCATCTGATTGAATTCTTTGCCTTCCATTAGTATGACTGATGCTAACCTCCTAGAGAGCGACTCATTGCGCTTTCTTGGGCTTAAGTTTTCCGCTAAACATGTGGAAAAATTATATTGAATCAATCGTTAGGTCTGCTGCTAGGAAAGTTGGTTCACCCTGTCGAGCTCGACAATTTTTTCTAGCCAAAATCTATCTTAAATATTTATATGTCTACTATTCGTCCTTGCTTTGAATATTACTGCCACAGATGGTCTCGTGCTTCAGCTTTGTATTTAGAGATTCTTGGTAAAATCCAAAGAATCTGTAATGTTATTGGTCTTGACCTGGCATATCAGCTTAAGTCACTTTCCCACCGCCGTAATGTAACTTCCCACTGCGTTTTCTATAAAAACATTCATGGTAATTGTTCTGATAAATTTTCCACTATGGTACCTAGACTTTATTAATTTAAACGCAGTACTAGATTGGCGGCGAGGTCTCATCCTTTTACAGTTGAAATGACTAAATGTCACCGTAATTTCTATGCTAACAGTTTCTTCTCTCGCACTTCTCGCTTGTTGAACTCTCTTCATGCTTTCCAGTGAACACCGATTTTCAGAAAGTTAAATACAGTGTCAATCGTTATCTTCTGTCTTCTTAATTCCTGTTCTTTTGCCTTTAAAGTGTCTATAGTCTGTACAAAGAGTCAAATAACACAGATGAAGACGGGCAAATATATTTGAATATTCAGATTATATATTTCAGAATTTACTTTTAGACAAACGCACAATCAGTTGCTGAGTTGCCGCAAATAATATAGAAAGTGGATACAGCGAACCGAGTTCAAATTCTAGCTGCGGTAGTGTGCTCGCTTCGCAATAATACCCTTAACAAAATCATGGATCCACCAGTTTCAGAGTTGCTGCTATCATAAAATCCAGTACAACCGGTCGTCAGTTACTCGAAGAAATCGGCATCATCAAATAATGTCAATTATCTGAGACATACCAGGAATGACCCATGATATCATCCTATTGTCTAAGTCATGGTATTTAAAAAAAAATCGCCTGACACCAGAGACCTAGGATTGCATAAACCCGATAGATAAATTTAACATTGAAAAGAAAATCAAAAACAGAATAATCAAAGATCAACTTTAGGTGCTGGATGCAAATTTGTATATAATCAGCGTGAGAAAAGATTTATTGTATCGCAAATAGAAAAGATTTGTCATGCAAAGTTTTATGCCCATATATATTGTGAAGATAATATTGGCCGTGTCATTATGACGAAACTTTTGGCATTCATTGACCGAACAGCCAGTGTTACTGTCGGCTGAAATTTATCAAATCTTTCTATTAAAAAGGTTTTCCAGGAAAAAAGGTTTCTTAAGTTCACTGGCTGTTATCGTTCTTTCCAGTATTAATGAGGGTTTCCTTCCCAACTTTTTGTTTGAAGTAGTGGGGAACATTTACATCTTGATTATGTCATTGTTTTCTTTTCTAGTTACATGTTCTATCCATTTTAGTTGTTGAATGTCCTCAAACAATGTGATTTCTGTTATTTGGTACTGTAGTTTGTGGACTGGCGATGCAGAATCACAATGTTCGAGGACGAATGGTCTTCACTAAGACCTACAAGCTTCATCCACTCGAAACCTCTTTTAATGATTGATCTGAGAAAGCCATTGTAAATAGCTGAGCGTTCAAATATTTCGGAACGAGTTTGGAGCTATGCATGAGATTTATATGAATGTCTCGATTTAGTGATGTTATTTAAAAACATGACTAGTTTTTAGGTTAAGTTTTTGTTTTTTGTAGTAATTTGCGGTATTGTGTGAAACTACTCCTAGCGTATCATATTTTATGTCCATTGTCCTTATCATCTGTTAAATTAGTTATAAATGATCCATAAGCCGAAGTATTTGAAGTGGTTAGTAATTTTAACACTATATCCTGAATTTTTATTATGGATTCGAAGAACTTTCCTTCACTGAATCCATTTCAATTTCTGATCATAGTTTCTATTTTGGAAGGGTTTATCTTAAGTCCTACTTCTTGGGCGACTTAGAAGACGTCGATTTTTCAAGATAACATATCCCAATAATGAATACCTAGTGTCATCAGCATAGCCCCTCATCGTCTATACACTGGCCTCGGGAGGGAAAGCAGGAACGTTGTTTCCTACTTATAGATTCTTTTGGGATGTGGTATGAAATGCATAAATGATCAGTGCCCATCTCTTCGCACCTATGCTTGTATATGCGCAGAGGAAACGATTAAACCGATTGGAGATTTTCATTTTCTACTTCTGATGAGGTTTGAAATGTTTCGGTATTGGGGTCCTCACCAGCCATATGAAGTGTGACTATCCAGGAAAGGTGAACGTGACTGGAAATATTTATCCACACGATGACTTTTAGACAAACCTTATTTGTTAGATATCTCTAGTTACTTGGTATTTCAATTTACACATGGTTGGTTTGGTTTATTTTGTTTTACGGCATATCAACCTCAATAGGTTATTTAACGCCGACAAGATTTTTAGGATAGGTTTGTATGAAAATAATATGTATTCTTAGTAAGAAATCAGTTAGTACATCAGGTTTCATTGACGCATTTTTGTAAAGAGTTTTTTTTTTATCGAGAATCAAATGTATTGCTGGTAATATTTTTTCAAAAATGTATTGTTGGTAATATTTTTGCTATGAAAATGTATTTTATACTTTCATAGCGCTTTGACCCCAGTTTAGGGAGTTAACTATTTGCCCATAGCTGGGACCCTAACAGATGCTACCACCCCGAGTCAGGGTGGGCCTGGGAGCAGCAACTAAGAGGTGGTTTCATCCTCCTCAAAACCTACCGATTAGAGGTCTTGCTGCTGGATGTAGTTTATCGTCATCCCCAGGACAACACGTGGGTCTTTGTGTGTGTAATAAACCCCTTTCAGTACTGACAATATATAACTTAACAGGAGAGATTGACCTCTTAATCTTTTGACTCCCATCTGCCAGAGAGAAAAATACGCAGCACAAAAGAATAAAGTAAATAATAAATAACAAAAACTGACTGGAAGGCCTCGCTATCAACATTTAGCTTGGCAGAGTATGAAAGATAACCCCTAAGTTCAAATATTGCGGGGCGATAACGCACACGTTACCTACCACCTTGATCTTCTATGATCAAGCCTGAATTCGGAGAGACCAGCTATTAAATTTCATATATTTTTTTTATATTATATATGTTCGCTTCAATTATTATCTAAATTGATTTTTTTATACTGCAACAGAACCAGCACGAGAGATTTTTATTTTTGATTGTACCTTCGGGTGATTAAAACTCGTTCCAAGCATTCGCAAATTCCCAAAGAGAGTCGATGAATTTGTCGAGAAAATTTTTCTTTTTTATCTTGAAGTGGAATCACTTATTAATTGATAAGCTTGTTTTCAATAGCTGTCACGTCAAAGATTAGTCGATATTTCTGCCACGTAGAAACCTAGGATTTTTCAAGCACACTATTGTACGAGCTAATTGTGCAATCGCGACCCGTTTAAGTTGTGACGTAACTACAGAGATCAGCGGTATTCATAGCGTATGTTTTATTTTGAATTGGAATGACGGAAGAACACACACTTTCGATATATATATATATATATATATATATATATATATATATATATGTATGTATGTATGTATGTGTATACCTCCACTAATTTAAGGTTTAAAATGATTTTTTTTTAAATGGAAATGGAACTTTCTTTTTAGATTTAATTGAGGGCTAAACGATTAACTATTTCCAGCTAGCAAAATACTCTGGTGTATTGCAAATAAAAATTATATTGATCGGAATCTCAACTTTTTGGTCGCTTTCAGTAAAGTCATTAAAA